CTGCCCTCCCACAGTCCTTCAGCCACCCCCCATCTCCGGAGATCCCTTATCCCCCTCGTTAACCCAGGGGAGATAACGGGATTTGTCAGCCCCAATTCCTCTCCCGAGTGAGGATCACAGCCTGCACAGTGGCCCAGAGGTGAGCTGGGAGCGGGGCTGAATGCAACCCTCTGCACAGGATGTCAAAGTTTCATCCTCCAAAGCTGCTAATTAGGTGTGTTAATTAGTGATGCCCCCTGGTTTTCAGGCAGGGCAGCTGAGGAGGATGCTGAGGGCTGAGCGAGTCCGTCCGCGTCCCCGTGGGGCTGGGGGCAATGGCCCAGCAGCTCTGTGGGTCGGAGGGGGAAGGTGATGGCAGGGGATGGAGGGGACCTGGGGAGGGGAGCGGAGCAGCAGCTCCTGGGGGGAGTCTGTGAGACCGAGATGGGAGCCAGGGCAGAGGCAGTCAGGGGTGGCCTCTCCACAGCCAAAATTTGGAGCTGTAAGAAATGCATATTGTTAGGAAAGCTTTGGGTTTCCCAGAATAACAGGATTTTTTTTTTTTCAGTGCTATATGTGTGAAAATCTGCCCCACTTCCAGCCAGTTTCCCAGCCCAGCAGTGCTCCTGGGCAAGGGCAGCCCGTGCAGGCAGCACTGCACACCCTCCCCAGCACCACTGGAGAGGAGGAAGATGCACCAAGGAGGAGAGGCATCACTTCTCCCCGAGCAAACCTCTTCAGTACCGTGAATCATCCCTTTCTGAGTTCATCATCGGAATGAGGGAATACGAGAAGGCCTAGGACGGAAGGGAACTGGGAGCAGGGAAGTCCTGGGGTGTGGGCTGGTCTCCATCGCAGCCCACTGCACGGGAAGGAGCTGGGAGCGAGCGGCACGACAAGGCCCTCTCCCATCCACGGAGGGAGACGGTGTGTAGCTCCTCGGGATCCGAGAGCCACGGGCAGATGAAGCAGCAGCGTCTCAGGTTCCTCTGAGTCCTGATATTCCTGGGAGGTTCATAAATCGCAGCCATTTCGCCACGCTGGGGTGCAGCTCGCTCCAGCCCCACGACGTCAGGATGGTTTTCTCCGCGCAGGGCAGGTTTCCCGGGATGCTTGGGGCTGGGGGAGGGTCGTGCCGCGCATCCCGCCTGGCCCCGTGCGGAAGCGGGATGTCGGGCAGCCACCGGCTCCCACTCCTCTCCTAGGACATCGCGTCGGGGGTGTTGGTCCCGGGCACGGAGCAGAGCCCGGCGATGCTTCCCAGCAGGCAGAGCCGCGTCCTCCACCGCAGTCCTCTCCTTTCCCCTCGGAGCCATCCCTCTGAGCATCCTCTCTTCCCTGGAAACCTCCATCTGTCCCCACCGGCCGCCTCCTCTTGAGCGCGGCGAGGCAGGGAGTTAATCGAGTGCGTTAGCATCAGCTGCCGTGTCAATAAATTACCCTCTGCTATTTCGGGCTGTCTCTCGCGCTGACCTTTCTTTCCCCACACACGCCGATTAATTTTTAAACCTCCTCCTCGCCCCCGGAGCGCTCACTTCGCGTCACGCCTGACGGCTCAGGGGACACTTGGAGCACTACGAGGCCCCGATAACCCCGTCCCCATCACGCACAGGAGCAATGTAATTATATTGATTAAAAATATAAGAGACCCCAGCTCCTCCCAAGGTGCTGCCACCGGTGGCATTGCCCTCCGGCACGGCTGCGGCCACGGCTGGGCACCTCCAGCTCTTTTCCCCTCAGCACTGGCACAACCTGTGCCCCTGGGACAGAGCCATTGCACGAGCTTAAAATCCCCTTTTTCCCCATTAAAACCCCCTGAAGTTGTCAGTGCTGAGGGCAAGGTTTTCCAACCCCCCCAGTGCCTTTTGGGGCTGTTTCGGTGGGCTCGGCGCTCCGGGGACCAGCCCGGGCAATGCTGGGGGGTGACGGCCACCCCGGGAGGGGATGAGCAGCCCCGCTCCGCCTGGCTCGGGCAGTGGGTGCGTCGGGGTCCGGCTCTCCAGAAATCCCTGGTTTTCACCCGAATGCTCTGGCCGCCTTCCCCTAGCCCTTCTCTGGCGTCGGCTCTGACAGCGATGCAACTGGATCCCAGTGCTCTTTGCTTTCATTTTAAGTGGATAAAACTGCAAAAGACGCTTGATCTTAGGCCTGCTCAGCCAGCAGCCGTGAGGACACGATCCCTTGCATCAGCTTTTCAGCAAGCAAACCCCGACATGGAGGGAGACGCATCCCCTGAAGAGGAGGAACCGGGACCCCACAGCATTGTACAGCGAAACCCCACCGCTGTCACCCGAGACCCCCACCGTGGGGGTCCCATCGCACCGAGCAGGGTGCTCCCCTACCTGCAGGGTGTTGACGGGGAAGGTGGTGATGGGGGGAAAGTCCATGATCTGCAGGTCGTGGACGTGGCCGTTCATGACGACGGCGGGCAGGTAGACGCGGCGGGCCGTGGTGGGCACGCAGACCTCGCTGAACTCGTTGTCTGGCCGCTGCCCTGGTGCTGCGCCCGCCGCGCCGAGGCTGCATATTCCCGCGTGGGGGGCCTCAGCCCCATTCAGGATGCATTCCCCCTCCGGGCCAGCCCCTCACTGCAAGGCCAAGGAGAAGATGGTCAGATCCTAGAGACATCCTGGCTGAGTCCACTACGGCTTCAGGAGATGTTTTTCCAAGCAGGAGGCCGGGGAAAAGGGTTATGTCTGTCCTCGGGGAGCAGGAGCATCCCCCAGGGCTGAGCAACGTCCCCAGCAGCAGCCACGGCACTGCAAGACCCCAGGGCCCCCCTCGCAGGGTCCCACCCTGCGGAGCCAAGGAGAAGCAGAATTTGAGCGAACTCCGTCCCAGGAAGGTTCTCACAGGCACGTTTACCCCTTTTGGTACCAGAGGAAGGAAATCTCCAGGAAAGGAACCGTCTGCGGTGAAGGGTTTGCCCAGCCTGGCAGCAGTGGAGCCCCGGGCCGTGCTGGGGTCTGTCCCATAGCACCCCCAGGGACCGTCACCGGCTGCTCCATCCCGATGCCAGTGCTGCCCTGACCCGGGAATCCATCTTCCCTCTGCTTGGACAGCCAGAATTGCCTTTGCTGGGGCGGGGTGGGAATTGCTCTGTGCCTGCGAGCGATAGCTTTAATGTTTAATTTCAGGCTTTGAGCGGTTTGGCAATTAACTTGATGGAGACTAATTTCCGAGCCAGCTGACAGGGTGAGG